CAAAACCTCAAGCCACCGAGCAATTTGACCCTCTGGATTCTTGAACTGCATGAACCAGCGAAGGGAACCATGGACAGTACGGACAGTAAACTTTTTCCCATAAAGATAATGTTTAAAGTGTTTCACAAAATAAACCACAGCCAAAAGTTCTTTTCTTGTCACACAATAGTGTCTTTCGGCTTTATTCAATGTTTTTACTTGCATAGCTAATGACGACTTCTTTTCCATCTTCACCAACTTGAGAAAGTACAGAACCGATAGCTTGGTTGCTGGCGTCAGTATCAAGTATAAATGGACGTGAAAAATCGGGATGCCCTAGAATAGGTGCACTGGTCAATTTAATCTTAAGGAATTTAAACGAATCTTCGCATTCTTGTTTCCAAACAAAATCCCTACCTTTCTCAGTTAATCTGTGGAGACATTTAGCCACAGCTGAAAAATCTTTTATGAATCTCCGATAATAGCCACATAACCCTAGAAAGGATCTTAATTCAGAAACATTTAATGGCGTTTGCCAATTCTTTGTAGCCTCTATTTTTGAAAGGTCCGTGGCAATCCCAGTTTCAGAAATGACATGTCCTAAGAAAAGAACTTCTTTGACACACAAGCAACACTTTTTGGCTTTCAATTTCAGACCAGCCTTTTGAAGGCGTCCAAACACCTTTTCCAGGTTCTGAATCATGCCGCTGAATGTTTTTCCCATAACTATGATATCATCTAAATATATCAAGCAAATATTCCATTGTAGTCCAGCAAGCACGGTCTCCATTAGCCGCTCAAACGTGCTGGGTGCACAACATAATCCAAATGGCATTGTTTTAAACTGAAACAAACCTTTCCTGGTTGCAAAGGCTATCTTGTAACGATCTGCTGGGTCTAACTCTACCTGCCAATAACCACTACACAAATCAAGAGTGGAAAACCAAGCATTCCCTGAGAGTTGTTCCAGAGAATCGTCGATCCTTGGGAGTTACCTTATTAAGTCGTCTATAGTCAACACAAAATCGATATGTCTCGTCCTTCTTCTTGACAAGCACCACTCCTGATGCCCAAGGACTATTGGATGGCTCAACTACATCCTTCTCTAGCATTTCATAAATATTTTTGTCTAATTCACATTGTAGATGTACCGGCGTACGCCTGGGTGGTTCTTTGAAAGCAGGCGCATCTCCTGTATTTATTTTGTGTTTGATAAGGTTAGTTGGCCATGACGTTGTCAGTTTGTTTTCGATCTATGAGTTTGACTGTCCCTCTGGTATCTTTCGTCCCTCTTTTAGTTCTTCCAAGATCTTTATCAGTCTCGGCAAATGATTTTTTATATCTAAGAATTAGTTTTCGTAGCTGTCTTTCTTGGTCACTATTGAGGTGTTTACTTGATTTTTCCAGCAAGTTCTGTAAATCCGGCCTGAGAGAAATTTCCGGATCTGAATTATGTTGCTTCTGATCTGAAATACTTATGACTTCATGCACTTGTCCTATACTTGTCCCTTTGTGAATAACTTGCACTTCCTTGCACAAATTCATAAGTCGGATAGGCACTTGATCATCGGTATTTACCAGTGTTCGAGCAACTAATGGTCCATCCTGTTCCAGTTTGTTCTCCAAAGGTTCTACTATCCCTTCGAAGTGTTTCATTGTTTGTCCCTTCGGTACGCATACTACACAAGAAATAACCATTTCACGTACAGGTGGCATACTAATCGTTTCTGATGCGACAATTCTATAACATCCAAGCTTACCCTCAAATTGAACAGGATAGTCTTTCCCACTAACAATCAATTTCTTTGCTACCACATCAATAACACAATCATTGTCTTTGAGAAAATCTAAGCCTAGAATACCATCGGCGCGAATATCAGCTACAACAGCTTCTAACCGAAAGAAAGTATTCCCGATTCACACATTAAAATTCCTTTCCCTTTCACAGATAAGAGACCTCCATTTGCCGAGGTTATTTGTTTGTTGCACTCTTCAAGATTAGGCTTTCTATTTAGCTGGTAATAGAAACTAGAAGAAATAATTGAAAGAGTCGCTCCTGTATCAACTAGAAACTTTGCATCTTTATTATTCATATGCACTTCAATGTACATTCAAGCCTCGTCAACTATAGATACGTTTGGTTTTCTGCCATTATTCATTCTACTAATGACACTAGACGATCCGTTGTCATTTGATCGAGGGGTTTGGTATCTATCCCCTCGTCCACGTCTATTATATCCACCACCTCGGCCTCTATGGAATGAATTGTCGTGTGGTTTTCGTTGTGGGCATTCTCTCACAAAGTGACCACTTTTACCAAAAATGTAACATTTTTTGTCATTTGTGAGATTTCCCCGCAAGCGTTCTCCATCTTTTAACTTACCCCTTTCAATTGTAAGTTCCTTAATCATATTTTGAATTGATTGCATGCCCTGCTCTAGTTTTTCTACAGCAGTATCTGTATCTGGGGCTGCAACAGGGATGAGCTCATTCCCCTCTTCTTTACTATTATAATCGGCGGATCGCAAATAACCACGATGAGCTCTGTTTGATTCTTCGGTTTTATTGAAAGCTTCTAATTCTACAGATAGTTTAACTGCTTCATCTAGACTTTTGGGTCTTGATTGTTTTATTTTTAATCTCATATCAGAGTCGTACAAGGAATCTATGAACTGCTCTAGAGCAAGCGTTTCACATACGTCCCTAGGTGCCGTTGGATATGCTAAGTTTGAAAGCCTTCGAAACACTTGGCCTAATTCAGGCAAAGACTCTGTTGCCTTTTTTCTACGCTCCCGAAACTGAACCCTGTATAGTTCCGTTTAACTTGGTGGTGCAAACCTTTCTTCCAATGCAACCACAAGACTATCATAATCACTTCGAACTTCTGTTGATAAATCACCTAATATTCCTTGTGCTTTGCCTCGTAATGACACTGCTAAGTACAAACCCATTTGTTCATGTGACCAATCATTGACTTTTGAAACCATATCAAAATGAGATTTATAATCGATCCAAGAATTACCCCCATCATACGTAGCGGGTTTAATTTTAACACCTTGGTTAGGATTTTTCATTTCACTAGAATTGTCCCTTGTAGACTTTTGTTTCTCCTCTACTAGAATACCCCAATTCGAATTTCTCGAATTACTAAGTGGCATATTTGTACTCAGGGGCTGACTAATATGACCTTGCTTGTCACCAGAGTTTCTATCTAAACTATTACTATAAGGGAGAGTTTCTGAATTTGTTGAAATGCCATTTTCTGATGTGACCTTAGACCATGCACCAAATATGACTGTGCGCCCCGCTTCATCAGATCTCAATGGGTTTGTTTGTATGGCTGTTTCAACCCCAGAATCACTTTCCTGTGCATTAGTACCAATTTTAGGTGTTGAATGCATAAAACTTTTTCTTTCTTTTAAACTATTTTCAAGGTGTTCAATAGCTGATGTTAATATTTCCTATTTCACTATTTAAATCAGACATGTTTAATAAATTTACTCACCAGCTTTATAACTCGTTCGGTCTTTAAACTGTTGACACACAACGTAGTCTCTCTAACTACAAAACACAATCAAATTATATATACTATAGCAATGATATTAAACGAACACAAAAATCAGAAAACACAATTCAAATGAAAGATATATTTCTAAAGAATTTAGAATCCCACCCTGCTGCAACCAATTTGTAACGTGTAAACCCGAGCGATCAAATGGTTTCGTACCGAAATAGACAAATTCTAGTTTCCAAAGTATATCCCGAAATATCAATCAGAATCGTTATTTGCAAGTCACTCCAATATTAAACAATGATAACCAAAACACATATATATAACTATGACACAAGAAACACTTGCAAGCGCACTATAAAACGGTTGATTTATACCACAGCCAAGTAGAATTTAGATAACAAACACACTTTTCAAATATATCTTTGTACAGCACAATGAAAGAAAAACAAGTCATACGGCACTGTCAATCTGCACAGCACAATGGAACAAAACAAGTCAACCTCACTATCAATTTGCACTATCTGTCAAATAGATCACTAGGTAGCAAAATGAACACAATAGCCTATAATCACTTTAATACAACAATAACAGAATACTCCAACTTTGCTAAATGAATTATTTATACTATACACTATTCAAATCAATTAACCCAACTATACCAAATAAAGTAGCAAATTGAACACTATATATTTTCATTGTCAAATAGCTATCACTTATTTATTCCCTGGATATATTATTAGAATTCCGAATCTTAGAATTATTACTAATAATCCACACTTCACTTGGAATTCACTATTTTAATCCAAAGAACAAATTATACTCACTATTCACTATATATAAATATATCCGTTAAGAATGGTCTATACACTGACACTGAACTGCTCTCTCTCCGGTCTTATATACTACCTAAATGGACGAGTCCAAGTCCCAATTTAAGGGTTGTCAAGAAGGTATACTTATCACATGACTGTTAACAAGTCTATTATCAATAAAAGGGGTGTTTCAGTACTTAACGAAGTGTGCTCCTTATTTAGGAGGAACTAAATGTAACAAATGAACAGCTTGACATGCTTTAACCATTTTCACTCCCCGGAATTATTGTATACCATAACAAAACAGGTATTTTCGTTACACTTTCTACAAAACGATAACAGGATAAACCTATATAAAAGAAATCAAAATGTTACTGATATAATTGATATAAAATGTAAAAATCTACCGATTTAAGATTGCGTATTGAAAAAACAAAAGATTTGATGTTGAATATTTCCCTTGATTGGTAACACGAGGGTTACTAGTTACGTAATAGACATGTATTACGTTAGATTTTATAAGAAAGCCACGAATAATATTTTTTTCTTCGTTTGTATATATGATATCATATTTTATCAAACAAGCAACTCTTTTTACATCCTTTTACTGCGTTCCTATTAACAGAAGTGCATGAAGCAGTTTTATAAACAGCCCAATTTTCATTTATTCAATAATTCCAACCTCCTTTTTTCAGCAAAGATTTTGCCATCGATGTCATTCCTTCATCCCAGAAAGCTCGACGCTTTGTGGATTTGAACTGTAAGGGAACCGAAATGCTGTTATCACAGTGCAAAAGAACGATTCATTTACTGGGTGAATGCAAGGCTAGGTCGAATGCTTTTAGATGTGAGATTAATTGTTTTGTATTTTCTTAATGGATTTATGAGATTTGCATATCTGGAGACATATGTTGCCTCTAATCAAGTATGCAACACGTGATCTTCCACTAATAGTAAATACACCTTAAGTTATCTTCAACTATAAATAAAATGTTACTTCATCTAGTCACTAATGGGGTAAAATAACTATGCCATACCATTGCACAAAATAATAGTTATGTTTACTTATACAATACTGCATATATTAACCTCTATTTTGTTCAGATATGTAATCTAATGTAATGATTAATATTTCAAAAAAGAATGAGTTTTAGAATGCATGTTAACACTCAGTCATCCGATAGAAATTAATGGGACCACAAACGCCAAATTAAACCAGTACAGTTTGATTACATGAACTAAAGTGTTGTAAATGACATTGTTGTCTGTGCAATGTCAAATGATTTTGCAGCAATATATAGTACATATATTGATTATGTCTCCTTGGTATCTTCAGCCTCTTTTGTATGTGATATCGAAAGAGTTCAGCTAAAAGCAATCTCGGTGTACAATCATTTATTAATGATGCTTATTCGTAGGTCACTTCAATAAAAACCAAACTCAAATATCAATCTTGAAAAACATTTAATAATCTATGCAGTTTATACTTTCTGGTAACAAAACCCTCTTATTTCGAAAATTATAAGACATCTATAATTATACCCCCGCTACAAAGGAGAATGGAGATACAGTATTACCACGGTCTGTCCATCAATTTGTCTGCCCGTCCCATGAAATTTCTGTTTCTTTTTTCTCAGAAACTGTTAATCAAAGATTCCTGAAATATGTTATATAGCTTTATGTCAGCATGCTGTACAGTGTAATGCAGATTCAGATTACTTACTCATCAACATCCTGTTTTTCGAATAGTTAAATATTTTGAAAATAATGGCCATGCATGACATTTGTGTAGCATTTTTCTAGCTATTGGAAACAACAAATAATAGCTTCCTGAAATTTGTTATATGGAATCATTTCAACATGCAATACCGTGTGACGCGTTTTCAGATTCATAGCTCATCAACTTCCTATTTATCGGATGCTTATATGTTCTAAACATTATGGTCATGTATGCAATTTCGTCGCATTTTCTCGGGAACTACAAATAAAAGCTAATTGAAATTTGTTATCAGGCTTCATGTGAACATGTTCGACAGTGTAATGTGATTTCATACTCTTTCCTTTTCAGCTTTCTGATTACCGATAACTTAAAGCGGGAATATTATTAGTGAGAAAGAGCTTACAGCTCTAGTTGTTATATAATGTATATAAGTATAATTAAATAACTTTAAAAAAGATTAGTTCCAAAATCAAAAGATTATTTTCCGTTGTATATGTTTTACCTTTCAGGCTTTGGGCAGAGACTGACACACGGTAATACACCTTACAATGGACGATTAGAGCTTCATCATGACGGACAGTGGGGAACTGTTTGTGATGATGGTTTCGGCGATGACCAGGCATCTGTAGTTTGCAGATATTTAGAACTATCTTGGTCAGTTAAGTTCTTATTTCTCATGTAAAACCATAAACATGTCATAAAATGATGTCTTGAAGTTCTTTTGATGACATTGATCTGATGATTTAATATTCGCAAGTTGAGTTTACTTTGAGTTTGGTTTTAGTAAATTCGAGGATTCTTTAATATGGTAAAAATTGTTATTGTTTTGTTTGTACTTGTGCTTTTATACAGAAATCTTTATCAATACGGATTCTATAGTACGCGCTTTCATACCACTCTAATTTTTAGATTATCTAGATAAAAGTAGGTTCGAAAATATTATATTATGTCGAAAAAGTAAAATGATCCACAAACACCATCCCAAAATCTAACGATTTGCCAGCAATAACCCGACTTAGATGCGCAAAGGGGTAAGCAGCTGTATATGCCTCTCTAGAGGCAACGTTGCGATGACAATGGCATATACAAACCCTGTGATAACTCACATTCAATGTTACCATTAACGAGGGAAAAAATAACCCGCTTAATTGGACCTATCTGGCCATGAACTTTGAATTTGTAATCCTTGTCATTGCAACACTTCAGGAATGGACGGTTTTCCTACGAGTTTAAAGATTGGAGTGCCGGTTCAAACTACCTACTAGACGACATTGTCTGTACCGGAAGAGAATCAAGTATAGTAAAATGCAGACACACGTCCTGGAATACTCACAACTGTGACACCACACACAGAGAAGATGTTGGTATTCAATGTAAGAACATAATTTGTAATCAATTTACACAAATTTTGTGAAGAAATTCATGAAATAGATTATTTAGAATAATCAAGTATCTACATTGTACATTTATTGTCGCACTCTGTGAATGTAACTGGTGTGATAAACCACACCTCTAAATATAGTTTTGCAGCTTTAATGATCGTTTATTGTTATTTCCCATCATTCTTTAAAGGCTAAACATGTATTCTTTTAATCTGCAACATATATAAGTTCAAATATTTTAAAATTGTCTTAAAATCATATTGCTTATATTTAACGTAATTTTCACATCAAATCATGTGTTGATCTAAATGAAATATTTTCTGCATTTTCCACCTTAAACGACAACGAGAAAAACAAAGTTAAACTTGCAAACTTGGTTGTTTTTATATATTGAGTTTTTTTTAAAATAAATAATGGTATATTAGGATAACTTATCATAGATACTGAACTCAATATAAAACAGAATTAGATTAAAAAAAAATTCCAAATGTTTCAAAATACCTGTCGTATATTCTAAAAGAGATAAGTTTATGTCCCGCTGCCAAAGCCCGTAACAATATCCTTTTTATTTCTCGTGAAAACAGTATACTACATGTATCAACTAATCGATACTGGAATTAGGTAGTGGCAATTCATTTTAAAACCTAAAATATACTCTAACAAATCTTAAGAAAACATTTCGGATATGTTCCTTGGACTATTAATCAAAGAAGAACTAGTTACTGGATACCTATATTACATAAGTATTTATTATCTTGTTTTAGGAAAGAAAAGATAAAAATTGTGTTAAAACCTTTATGATTTACAGAAAAGATTGCCTTTTTTATATTGGTTACACTTAGTGGGCGTGATAATACTGTAGACAAAAAAGAACCACTCTGATGCAAACAAATATAGTATTCCTTTCTTTCTACACCATATATTTGATACGTTTTGTGAGCTTTAACAGACAAAACAGACAGTAGGCTTACCTTTTAGTAGCATAAACATTCCTCTACTCGTTGACTTTATACAGAGGTTATTCAGGAACAATTAAACAAAATGCGTTGCTCCTAAACTTAGCGCCCGCCTTGTTGTTAAGGTCTTCTCATTCTCTCTGAATAAGTAAAGATTTTGTTACCATTGTAATTGCATCCATTCTTATGAGTTAGGTTTGCTTTATATCTAAACTAACATAAACAAAATCGTAAGTGAGGGCCGATTGAGAACTCGCCTAACGAGATTTCTAATGGTAAAATTCCCATTTCTAAGACGCAACATTCTTGATACTCCTGCATAGGAGTATATTTCATACAATTGTTACGCTATTGAAAGTCTTGCGCATCCAATCGCAGATTCCATGATATAGGATGAAATGAATTAGAAGCTATTCAACAAAAGATTATAAACGGATAAGTACTAGTTGAAGATATATCTTTGTAAGTTCTACGGACGCCACCACTATGTAGTGACCATTATATATTAACTCTGTTGGCTGCTTTATTACTTTCGTTTCGTCTTAACCTGGATATGTATGTAATTCTCGTCACTAGACGTTAGACAAGCAACAATCAGTCAATCAATCAACAGATGAAAGAGGTGATTAAAGGTCTAACAAATAATGCAACATCAATACATGCGGTTATTCCTGCGACTTCCTCAGTGGTCCTTAATGTGTTTTTCATTAGTAAAATACGAATCTTTTGGTGGATATTTAACAGTCTTTGGTATATGCCTTCACAACTCTTTGTTGCGGATGGAGGGGGAGTAAACAAGATTATAATATTGTATAGACGCCTGTTTATTGTTCTTGATATCTTGATGTCTTGTTTTTCCTTGGTTTCGCTTGGTTGCTGTTTAATTGACGATTATCTATTAACCAGTAAAATTGAGAACGGAAATGGGGAATGTGTCAAAGAGACAACAACCCGACCATAGAGCAGACAACAGCCGAAGGCCACCAATGGGTCTTCAATGCAGCGAGAAACTCCCGCACCCGGAGGCGTCCTTCAGCTGGCCCCTAAACAAATATGTATACTAGTTCAGTGATAATGGACGTCATACTAAACTCCAAATTATACACAAGAAACTAAAATTAAAAATGATACAAGACTAACAAAGGCCAGAGGCTCCTGACTTGGGACAGGTGCAAAAATGCGGCGGGGTTAAACATGTTTTTTGAGATCTCAACCCACCCCCTATACCTCTAGCCAATGTAGAAAAAACAAACGTACAACAGTACGCACAGTAAAAATCAGTTTAAGAGAAGTCCGAGTCCGATGTCAGAATAGTGCCCAGGTCTATTTATATTTTAACCGTTAATCTAATATAGGCTCACCAGATGAAATGGCTCTTACACTTGAAGGTGGCAATAAGCCGAATGAAGGAATAGCTCAGATTATGTTAGGGAAACAGAGAACCAATATATGCAGCTTGGGATTCGATAAAAAAGATGCCATCGTCTTTTGTCGGGAATTTAACGGTAATTACCGGTAAGTCAACAGTAGTTTATGAAGCTATTATATTGCTTTAAATCTAGAACAGGAACAAAACTATTATTCTCCTCGTCTACAAAATGGTCAAAAATATAACAGTATATGTAAAAAATCCAATTTCAATTTTTCGCAAGTCCCCACTATTCTTTATTTTGTCATATTATTTTTTTTAAACATGCATGAAGCAAAGCGTATTACCTGCATTATTGAAAGCCAAGTGGATTTGCTTTTGCACTACTAGTATTCCAAACTTTTTAGGTAATTTATTATTGTGTTCAATTCAATAAGCATCGGACAAGGGTTTGGCAAGGGAACAAATGCCCAAACCTCTTACAAGAGAGGAAAACACTTTGTCTTCGAATTGTTTCTCATTATGTCAGGCGGGGAATTTTATAACGTATTATACGATAAAAATTAAAACAAAAATACCGACTCCAAGGTAAATTCAAAAAGAGGAAGTCCATAAAAACTGACAAAATCAAAGGTCACACTTTATCAACCAACGGAAGAAGAATGGAAAATAGCTGTTATATTCCTGACTTGGTACAGATATTTTTTCGAAGAGAATGGTGGGTTAAACCAGGTTTTATAGCTAGCTAAACCTCCCAATTGTATGACAGTTGTTTATTGTAATGTATAATTTTTGGAAAATGACGCAGTCAATTTTCCTATACCGGTGACCAGAAGTCATTTACCGCTTCCAAGCCGCTTTCCGAACTCGGTTCCGTATTTTACATCCTTATGTACTATACAGAATGTCATTATTAACCTGTCCATATGTTTATTGTTATTAAATGGTATTTTGAGCTATCCCTTTGGTATATTTTTCATATCTATACGAACTTTCGCTTTTATGTGGATGTCTTTACAATCCGTAAAAAAAATCATAATATAAATAGATTTGTTTTGTTATGGTTTTGGACTTTTTACATACCAATGATCACCAATCGCTAGACAAAATAGTTCATGAAAGAATGTCAACCTTTCTTGTCAGTTGAACTTTAAAATCATTAAAAAAAATAATAATCGGAATCATCTTGATATCCTTACGAAAGATAATGCTGCTCTTTATCAAGATTTACGAAGTTTTTAAGAATCGAAAATTAGTAATACGGTTAAACCCACGCGGTGCGTATGTATTTCGTTTACAAAGTTATAGCTGCAGACAGGTCGACACAAAAGTACCCGCATGTAAAATGTTCACGCCCATAAACAGCGCTACCTATATTTTTTTCTTCATCGTCTTTGAGAACGATGTTCTGTTCTGTTGGAAATTAAAACATTTAATTAACTTAAACATAGAATAGTAAGTGTAGAAAACAAATTAAAAGATATATCTTTACATGACTGATTAAGCATGATATGCTGGCAATGTGCGCAATGTCCTTTAATCCAAGATTGAAAATAAGTTTGTTTCCTACGTCAAAATGGCGGATTCCAATGTTTACATTTTCCCATCAAAACAAAAGCTGACACAGTTTGCGTGCCGGCCATGAATATGCAAATTATTTATTGTTTCGGGTAGCTTATCCAATTACATGTACTGTTATATAAGTGGCTATACGTTACCATCCATCGTTACAAAAGTAGGATGTGGTTGGTGTGTACATCTCTGGAATGTTGTGTATTCAATTTTTTACGGTAAAAATCAATATTATCTTCATGATATTTCCATGCATACACAAGTCATAACAACAAATAATTGTTTATAAGACTTATAATGTAAACAGACATGTTTAACCGTCTGTCTTAGCGAAAATTTGTGTAAATAAAGCTGATGGGTTGTTTTATAATTCAAGCATTGCAGACAAACACGTGGTCGTTCATTGATGTTTGTTTACTTAAAATACACATTGTTGTTACTGCATACTTAGAAATAACCACTATTTTGTTATTATTGTTTAACATCAGATATAATTAGTATTTACAAAGGGATTGTATTGCTTTCAGAGTTATATAATACACCTTGCCTAAGAAATAGGTCTAGCTAGGTCCTTATAAAAAAAATGAGGCTATAATGATGTAAATTACCATATTTACATTACAGCTGCATTTTTTTGCATTTAATATATATCATATATGTTCATAGAGAACAACAGATTAAATGCACATCGGTTTAATTACCATCCTTGGCATTAATTGTAATAGGTGGCAGCAAATAGGACAGATTGGCCTGTATATGTGGTGTCCCCACATCTATTCTGTTGTTCCTAAGTCCTAAACATCTTTCTTATCTAAGTATAGATCAGCAGCTCCTCTAAGGATTAGTAATGTAGCAATTTTATATAGTCCAGTGGCTTAGTCCTGTTTTTTTTATTTTCGTATTTATATTATTATTATTATATTTCTTATATTTTCTTGTAAGCCACCAAGCCACAACTCCTCTTTTTCCTATGGTGCCTGAAAACAATGAACCGGTTTTGTTCATTGTTGAGGTCTGTAAAGTGACTTATAACTGTCAACATCCGCATTATTTGGACTCTGGTGGATAGTTATCAGACTGTTATCGCATTGGCAATCATACCGCATCTCCTTATTTTAGTACAGGTTAATTATTTGAAATAAATGACTAACAAACATTAAATCATTTGAAAAAAAAACATTTCTGCAATAATTTATGTTGTCATTTTAAGATTTCAGTTTATATATATATCAACAATAAAATTTGGTTGTATAAATGGTGTCACTATGTTAGTAATTGTCAAACTAGTATAACAATACTATTGTCTAAATCTACACAAATGGATCATGCTTCAAGTAACAGAAATAACAATGCCACTAGGTTACTTGTAACTTATCTCTTAAATAAGGACTATGTGGGGTATAAGAGCTTGCTTACTACAGGCTCTTCATAATCATTTTGTTAAATAATTCTACAAAGAAGGGGATAGTCTGTTAATGTATCCTTAACTAAGAATAATGAAATTGCAAGAAACAAATTCACATATTACTTTGAATATTGTAGATCTTTTAGGTAGTCTTGATCTATTTCTTTGTACAAAAGAACAACCAGTAGTCATAATCACTTCACACATATATATATATATATATATATATATATATATATATATATATATATATCTTGACAAACAAATAAAAAAGCCATAGACATTGAAAACAATTCATATATATTCTATTGTCAGTCAGCCTACCTACCATGAACTGAAAAATCTCCTAAGATTCAGTAGGTAAATTATGTGAAAAATATTCCAATATTAGAGACAATGGCGTCATTTTTCCCCAGAGCTTTCAGCTCTTTGATTTTTCGGAGCGTGTGACTTTGAAATTTGAAATATTAAATGTATGTGCATGGCAAATTAATATCAAATCGACCGTATTATTGACGTTGAAATCGTTTAACTTTTTATCCTATGCATTTTAAACCAACGTTTGGCGCTTGTCGAAAGAAGCCAATTGACAGTCCTATTTCAGGTTTATATCATATATTTTTATCTCTTGAAGACATGTTGTAGTAGTATCAAGGCATACATGCAATACATCATCAGACGACATATATCAAGAAAGTTTCAACTGTACTGGAAATGAAACAAAGCTTGTACTCTGTCCACGTTATTCTGTAAGATGTCCAAGTGAATCGAAAGCAGCTATCGTCTGTGGTATAGTATATATTTTCATAACTTGACATGTTTTTCTATGTCTAAGTAGTTCATCTAATGTATCAGTAGGGTGTGTGTATACTTTGACCTCGGACCAACAGCAGTGGCTGCGCTAAATGATTGCAATACTACAAAAAACAACAAGGGATTTTACTTAAGACACCGTTAATTTTCTATGTCTGATCCCGGAAAGCAAGCAATGACAGAATAAAGTAAAACATGGATTAACGTTGGTGATTTAAAAAAACGTAAAATATATAGTGATATAAGGAAAACATTGAACAGTACAAAAAATTCGGAGGATACCAAAGGTATATTCAAAGTCATAAGTCGAGAAAAAACTGACAAGGCCATTGCTTAAAACAAAAAACGACCAAAAGAGAAACAGTAAACAAAATACAACATAGAAAAATAAAGTCTGAACAACACGAACCACACTAAAAAACCGTGGGTAATCTCAGGTGATCTGGAAGGGTAAATATATCTTGCTGCACATGTGGCACCAGTCTTGTTGCTCGTGTAAGTACATGCCCAGTGATAAGTCTAATTCATAGGAACGACAATCGGAACATAACAGTCGTCATCCATGAAACAGATATTCAATAACGGTCAACCAACTCGTGATGGAGTCCTTCATACATGTCACATTGCAAGTTTGAATATTGTATCAACTTGGACTACAACCACAAACACTCGACATCTCGAAAAATAAATGTTTTAAATTTTAAACTTTTTTTTATTTATACATGTAGGACTTCAATTTGTCTACAAAATTCCATATTTTACAACCTCAAGTATGCTCTGGTCCAGGATTGTGCCGAATAAAAATATTGGAAAGTTCTCTAGTCTTAAACAATTAAATATATTGTAACTATGACAAAGTGTATGATGCCAACACTAAGATGTAATTCACACTTCATTTGTCCTTAACTGATCTTAACTATATTATCATTCTTTTGTTTTCAATTTTAATGCATCTTTTCTTGCAATTTAAATGGTTCTGTTGCATTTACATTTTCTACAGAGATACTTTTATATTTTAAAAAAAAACTGATATATGTGATATGAAAGAAAGTATTCTTCCATTTAATTTCCATTATTTACATGTAAAAATAAGGAAATGTGTTATGATTGACAGTGAGACAACGGACCACCAAGCTTCAAATGAAGTGGATGTAAGCAATTATAGGCAACCGTATGACCTTCAACAATGAGAAAGACCCATACCGTATACTAGTAGTCGGCTATAAAAGGCCCATACATGGAAAATATGAAACAATTCAATTGAGAAAAACTAACGGCCTAAATTTTTTATCTTATCGAATTACAAATCATCATACGGTTTCAGCATTTTTTGTATTGAAGTTGCTATATAAATATTTACACAAAAAACTCAAATGACACTATGAGGTCATTTAATGACTTAATCTATAGACAGGTGTCACTAAATTTTGAATGTCCGATAAAAAAACGAGAGGCGAAAGCTACCCAAGGAATATTTAACTTATTTGTTAAACCACTTTATATATCCCTAGATCCAACACATTCTTCAGTGGAGTTAGAAGTACCATCCCCTATGATAGTTAATAAACCTGTGAATATAACATGCTCTGCCACCGGTGGTAGTCCAGTGCCTGACATTTGGTGGAACTGTTGTAATGATGACAACGCTACACATGTGGTATTGTCTGAGAATCAGATATTGTCAGTTTTAGAATTTATGCCTTCCAGAGAATGTAATGCAGAGACATGTACGTGTTTTGTTCATCATTCTGAGACGACGTTTCCTGAAATTCAAAAAGCAGAAAACCTTGTAGTGTATTGTAAGTGTTTGGATGGTTTATATATTAAAAAAAAATGCAAAAAAAATAACAAAGGGTTGTTTCATCACAGGGACGTAAATAATCTTCCTAGCCGAAAACTGTTCTTATAAATATATACAGCGTAATATGAATGATAAAAGATGTAGGGTAAACGTCAATAAGCCAGCAACCAAACAACACAAAAAACTCAAATGACACTAAGAGGTCATTAAAGGACTTTATCTATAGACAGGTGTCAATTTTTTCATGTCACTAAATTTTGAATGTGAGATCAAAAACGAGAGGTGAAAGATACCCAAGGGATATTTAAACTCATAAATCGTAAACAAACTGACTATGTCATGACAAATACTAGAAACGACGAAAAGACTAACAGAACACAAAACTCATTAAAGAAAACTTAAGACTGAGCAACACGAACCCCACCCAAACCGGTGTTATCTCAGGTGCCACGGAAGTGTAAGCAGATCCTGCTTCACTTGTACACAATGGAATATGAAGCTTCAGCCTCTTTACCTTGTATCACATGCTGAGGACAATTTCCTGTCTTCATATATCATCTAATTCATGACACATGAAATGGTTAATACATGAAAGATATTTGAAAGTTTTTACAATCCAAACAATTATGAAAACATTCGTGTAAGAACTCCATACAAATACCCTATAGTAACAATATGAATTAACCATGTTAAAACTTAAAAAAAAGTTAACTCGGTAACGACGACCAACTCGTGATTGACGTTAGCACTAATTATTACTTCTTTACTACATATTTTCTGTCTATATATCATGGTAATAGGCAAAATGCTTAGATTTGTCAACTGATGTTTTCTAAGGGAAATAAGTTATTTTCAAATAAATTTTGTTTCCCCGTATCAAACTTCACATATCTTAAAATGTGTGGTTCGCTCTGAAGCAAGGTGGTAATCACAGCATTTTACAGAATCTGTTACGATCTCTAATACGGTGTAAACTATATTATAGTTCCATAGTGTAGGGTTTCGTACAAAAATTGACACCCGAACTCCTGAAGTTGTGCACCACAGTGAACATCGTCTGTGTCAGGGTGCCTTTACAGCTTCCATGTTGTGAGTAAGTAAAAAGAGGCGAACGGGTTTTCAATCTCCAAAAGATGTTTAATACGCGGTCTATGATATGCTTCAAAGGTATTACACGCAAAACCTGCCTTCAGCTGTATTTACAATAGAACAATAATTAAAATAAATTCGTTAACAGATACCAAATACCCTGTAGCAACACATGTGTACTAAATTTTTTGATATTCGAAAAGCTTTATAAAAAAAAGTATAATAACAAAAATACTGAACTCCGAACTTTATAAAAGATAAGTACAAATCATTAAAAGTTATCTATCTTGAAAACCAAATCGGATATGAAACAAATTCAGAATAACATTAACTCCGAAAGGAGGGAAAATGGGAAAGTATCTTCGTTTATGTAATGTATTACACATCAAACCAAATTGAAATCACCTTTGAGTTTCCTATGATATGTTTTTGTGTTAACAATCGGAATTTCATTTACTTAAAAAAAAACGGAATTCTTTAAAAATTTAAAGATTTTAAGTTTCATAGAAATTTGATTTTGTTTTAAATTTTAGATCCTGTAAGAGGTGATTTGAATGTAACAGTTCCAATTCTTATTGAACATCATCAAGACATTTTGACATGTGAGGTTTTTGACGGAAATCCTTTGCCAGATATTTGGTGGACATGCAGCGGAATGCCATATGATAATGTCACATCGGTTGTCACACACAATTCATCTACTTCGATCTTGTATTTGACACCCACTGCTGATTACCACAATAAAACGTGTACCTGTATCGGGAGGCAAATTAACACAACGTTTGAAGAAATATCCAAACCAGCAGTGTTGCATGTGTTATGTGAGTAACTGTCTTTTTAATATTTTTAATATACAGGTATGATGACCTATAATTGCTTATATCCACGTTATTTTGGCATTCACACCACATCACATTTTTAAATATCAGGTAAATGTCTCACTTACTGAGTGTATGCTCCATCTTTAGATGACAATGTTTCTGTAAATGTATTTTTTTACAAGGCAAGATAGTCGCTCTTGCGCTCAATCCCCAAATTGGAGGGCCAGGAATTTTGTTCTCTATGTCTCATTCAACTAGATAAGCTGTCTACCAAAATTTACGAGCCTTATCTAACCGATTTGATTTTGGAGTTATTCCTTCTCCAATCTATCCGGCTATTTTCCCATAGCTTTGGCAAGATTTTAGATGTTCAGTTCCCTTTCTAATTTGTAATGTATCCTAAAAGAGCGGTTTGCCTTTAATTATTGTTCAAAACAAGTGTTTGAAGTCAATGAAATTTTTATTATGAAATCCAAATTGCTATTTACTAATATGATAACGATGAAGCTATATTTATTAGCCTCTTTGGCTAATATAACAAGCATGCAGCACGATTTTAAAAAGATAAAACGGTATGATATATAAAAATGTACTTATTATGCTTATTTTTAAATATTTATTTGTCACTTGAGAATTGCAATTGGTTAGATGGTGTTTGCGTATCGTTGAGCAGAAAATATGCATTGCATGTTTAGGACGAGATCACAAAAACAAAAAATATGATGGTAATGGATTAGTATTTCAACAGGAAGTCTGTTTTCAAATGAGTAGTAATTTTGCACCCCTTCTTTCTGTTTTTTACTTAAATGAGACATTATTCAAAACCTTCTGTTAGCATGGTAAGTAAACGACAAACAGAAAAATAATCATCTTGCCAAGCGTTGCCAAATTTTTAAAATTTAATTTAAGATATATTGATGATATCCTGTCTTGTAGTGACCCACATTTAAAGGAGAATTTGAATCTAAAAAATCCCTGTGAATTTTTTAATGAAAGATACTACCGAGACTAAGCAGGCCTGCTTCAAATCTTAAGTTTTTGATTGATAGCGACGCTAATGAACAAGTTCAAACAAGATGACAAACGTGACAGTTTTAGCTTTGCCCCTGTTAACTTAACATTTTATCCAGTTTGATACCATTGTGGATTTTCCCTATCGTCTGGAGTTTACATAATTATTTGAATTATTACGTCCCTCATGCATGTTTAAATTCAATGGACTATACATACAGGGGTGTGCCCTTACAAAAACTGCCCCAACAGGGTTATGAGGAAGAACAAATGCAATCGTCAAAAATAAGCCTTATGGTCATCACCATTATTTGGTTGACCGATTCTATATTTCTGTGTCTGAAACTACATTTTTCTAATGTGACTGAGTGTTGATTTGCACGACGGGTGAAACATGTATGGAAGAGATGCTAACCCTGTGGACGCAATCAATCTCGTTCCTAATGGAACTCATGCTATTCCTTTAGGTTTTGATTTATTGGTTTCTGTTTTCTAACTTAGGTTTGACCCAACCAAATGCTCTGAAACAGACTTCAGTTCACTTTAACCAAATGGTATGAAACGTATTCACAATACTTTTTACTACAAAACACTGACCAAGTGTGAATTTGGGTGGCGTCACTTTCACCAACCTTGTTCACACCCTTTATAAATCGAAAATTGCCAAGTTTGTCGTGTTAATCAGTTTCAGAAAAAACATAAAGTACATTTACTCTTGCATATTTACAAGCGGGTTCATCTGTGTCCCATTGACATATTATTCTTTTATTTTTATCTGTGTTCATTCAAAAAATGTACCATGGATTCATCATTATTCGTAGGATACCAATTTTTATGGATGTCGTGGATAAAAGTGAAGCACAAAAAATGTTAAACAAAGTACAATTTTCTATAGGCCTGTATTCAGAATTTAAAAAAAAACATGAAATCATATATCTACGAAATTTGTACCAATGAAAATAAATGAATCAATCAACTTGTCAGCTTTAAATAATCTAAACTGAGTAAATTCATATGAGATTGATATTGTAATTGTTATTCATATTTGATTGATTTGGTTACTGTTAAGAGTAAACAAAAGCCCATTTCATTTCGCTTTGATGTCTTTCATTAATTAGTCAATCAATGTGTTGTGTTGTACTCTTTCTTAGATGAACATTGTCATATAAGCGGGAGGTTTTGACCTGCCATAAAACCAGGTTCAACCCACCATTTGTTCTTAAAATGTCCTGTACCAAGTCAGGAATATGGCAGATGTTAACAAATTATGTTGGCGTTTGTTTTTGTTGTAGTTCAGTGTTTCTCTTGTTCCGTTGTTTTCCTCTTTCAGTTGATGTGTTTATCTCGGTTTTGGTTTGTGACCCGAATTTGTTTTCGCTTAATCGATTTATGATTATTGAACAGCGGTATACTACTGTTGCATTTATTTAGCATGCTAAACTTAAAACAATCGTTAAAATTTTATTTCTCTGTCACTTGTTTTGTATGTTAATGGAAATGATAGTGTGTAGATAAAGTTTCTGCTGGTTCACGAATATATTTTGTGGAAATCGAAAAAAGTCCCCTTTATTTACTTCATGTTTGGCTCTTGGGTAAACATGTCGTTCTAATGCATACAGTTTGCACATCTTAATCTTTTTTCTGTATTACAGATTCAGTAAATGAGGTGACAGTGTCTTCCACTGACCTCTTGGCTGGACTCCGATCTTATCTCATTTGCCGGGTTGCTGGTGGTAATCCAAAGCCAGATGCAAAATGGTTTTGTGATGGCGAATTGCAAACATTTTTTTTAATTAGATCACCAGACGCCGTAATAGCACTGATGTCATTTATTCCAACTGCAGCTCATGAGGGCAAGCGATGTACATGTGTTGTAAGCCAGCCTGGAACAATTTTTAACGAATTGTCACAATCATTGGTTCTTCGTGTAACACGTAAGTGACTTTAAACATTAATTCCTTTTCATGAATACAAATTATATATAATTACCAATGGGCATGTCAAGTAGTGCCATGTATTATTCTCAAGCTATCATTTAAAGAGGTTCCGTTAAAGAGGGTATATTGTTGTCAATATAATGGAATTTTATGCGACTGTCATACTAGTGAGAGTTTAAGCTAGCTACGAAACCAGGTTTAATCCACTATTTTCTACATAAGGAAAGGCCTGTATCAAGTCAGAAATATGACAGCTGTTTTCCATTCGTTTGATGTGTTTGAGATTTTTCTTTTGCCATTTGATAAGGAACGTTCCGTTTGGAATTTTCCTTGGAGTTCGGTATTTTTGTTTATTTACTTTTTCGTATATTGCGGCGCTAAAAACGATCCGTTTTCGTTCAGTATGAATTTTTTTCAGGATTAAGACATGACATCCATTTACAAAATTAAGGGAATGGATTTTATTGGCAGCATGTGCTCTGAATTTGTGATAGCTTGAAAATTTAGGGAATGGATTTTATTGGCTACATGTGCTCTGAATTTGTGATAGTTGGCAATGCACATGTGTTATACGACATAGGTTTATAATCATTTCACTTCATTTAGAATAAAGTCTTCATTTGCTGTTTGAAAAAAAATACCGTACTATTTATATGTATTTTTTCCTCATGCATCGTTATCTTTCGGTAAAATGAGAGCCACAAAAAATATCAAAAACAAAATCACAATAACGAAGTCGAAAGTTCAAACAGTTCCCGTTTATCCATCACTGACTTCATATGATATCAATGCGACTATTGAAAATAGCCTTAATAACCCAATACCATTTTGTAGTAATTACTCCTGCGTCTTCTTGTTTCAATAATTCTTATTTTTCCAGATGATTCCACGAGCACAGGGGAATAAATCACAGGAAATGCAAGTGAATCGTGGTCAAAATTTAACTACCACAGATTGATTTTGTAATATAGAGGACAAATAGCCAAGGAAAATTTAATGTGAACATTTGATTTAAAATGTTTTTTGAATTGTCAAAAATGCTTTATAACAAAGGAGAAGGTTTAATAAGGCTATGTTCTTCAGTTCTTGATTACCATAAATGAGATATGTTTTATACATATACCTTATTATAACTTATTATAACACAGTCAGTTGTTCACAACAGACCTGGGGTCAATTATATAAAAAAAGTATGTTTTTAAAATACATTTCAATTACATATTGATTTTTTTCAATTAATTACAACTTTGAAATGTAATTAATAATGTTGCAAGTACACGTCAATTACGTTTGTACTAAGGACTTTATAATAGCATCATATGTGAACCAACCAGTATTATAATTATAGTGCATACATTGTTTGATATTAAAACCATTGTACTGGAATTGTTGTAAGTTATGAAATATATTTTTTTCTGATTGGTAACATTTAAACATTAATAGGTATATGTTTCAAAGGTATCTGTTATTTTAATTTGCCTCACATCAACTAATTGTATTTCATGCCATTTTTGAAACCTGGTGATTTTTTTCCTTAGTTTATTCCGATTCACAAGTGTTTTCGTTGTTTTTATCACTTTTCATTACTTCTACTCTGAAAATCCTTTATTTATCCAAACAAACATAAGTATTTGACATTGCGAGGTATTTATAAGGCTACAAATCAGTTGCACCAATTATTTTATGTTCATATGTAAATTCATGAATTAGTTTGTAAGCACGAAGTATAATGTCTTTGACACAATAATCAAGGGACATGTTCGTGGTTAACTAGTTCTGTTAAATAATTTATTTAGAGGATATGATTATCGTTAATGGTTAGAAAAACAAATTTATAAAATATAATGTCAATAAATTAGTATGTTTTTGATATTTTTTTATTCAAATGTTAAGAAACAAAAAAGAAAGATTATTAAACATGTTAATAAAATTTGCAATTTTTAGCAAAATTATGTTTTGATTTTCGATTTTCATTAATAATAATTATTTCCAATCAAAGTATAACATGTATAAAACAATTCAAAATATCAGGTGATTCTGAATGATTTAAGGAAAATGCAGTTTACATGTGTTTGTACATTAAAGAACATGCTATAAATCAAATATAAACGGTAATAACTGTCCTTTCCTAGATATAGATATTTCAGTTTTTCACGGAATTGTTTTACATTTATCATTTCGGGGGCTTTGATAGCCGACTTTGTGGTATGGGTTTTACTCATTGTTTAAGACCGTATGGTGACCTATAGTCGTTAATTTCTGTGTCATTTCGTCTCTTGTGGAGAGATGTCTAATTGGCAATCATACCACATCTTCTTATTTTTATATTTGGACTTCCAAGCAAATACCCGGCTAATGTGTTTGAAAGTGATAAACAAGTATTGCACAAGTACACGAAAAAAATTATTAACTCATTACTTCAAATTCGTTGTAATTTAAAAATGATCAATTACACTTTATTTTGAATTTCTATTTTATTTGTAAGGAAATTACCAGTTCATTCTAAATACCCCCAGGTCTGGTTCACAAGGTATAAGTTTGTCATATATAATACATATATTCATTATATTTTTTACATGAACATATTTGCTATAGAGCGTCAGACTTCTTGAATTTAATTAGAAACTGTATATTAACTATACAAAAAAATAGCCTATATAGCTTATTTTGAGATTTTATATATCATGATAATATATGGGTCGTAAACAAAAATGTTAATGTAGATGAAATATCTTTTTATGTATGACATTGGCCTATATTTTTTTCTGCTAAGAATAGTGTACAAATTGTCATTTCAGGTAAAAATTTGACTGTTTTGACATTACAATTGACATTTAATTACTAAAAGAAAAAAAAAATATTACATTGAAATTCACAATATTATACAATGAGCATGATTATGACAGGATTGAAAAATTTCACAACGTGTTGCTGACAATGAAATTCAAAGACAATGACATAGTAAACGTAGCCACCTTAAAGTTGTCCTCGCCATATTTAAGTGTGAAATGATTTGTAATTTTTTATTTGTAGCGTGCTTGCTTATCCATTTTGTTGTTAACAATTATTTTAAAATATTGTTTTAAAAAAAAAACATTAAAAGTTCATGACATTTTTATCAATGACAATTATTCAAACCTACAATCGAGTGACATTTCCAGTCTTGTGACCTTTTTTGTATCTTGCCTTACTGATCGTTGTTGCTGTCTATACAGTAAGTTTTTAAAGACAGTAAGCTCTATTGGAAAAATACAAGTCAACTTAACCTAACACGAACCGTAACAAATTACTGCAACAGATCTCCATTTGGACAATCGTTGTCTCATCAATGATGTTCGGGGCCAATTATTTGAAAATGAAAACCATTATGCAAACGTTGAAGAGCTGACAGTAAAAAAAAACCGGAAAGGGAATCTAGACCTATGCATGAGTAAGACGCATTTCTAAATTTAGAACGATGTTGTTTTCTTGCAAGTACCGACGTACTAAGCGATTAGCTTGCTGAAGCTTTCGGGGGCTAAACATCTTTCAGAAGAGTTAAAAAAACAGTTGTAGTAACAACATTAATGGTTTCAATGTTACTGCACCAGATACGCATTTCAACAATTAATGTCTCTTCTGTGTGGTGCGATGCAAAAATATTTGAAAAATTAAAACACTCACCCTATCTTATAGCATTTGCATATCTACATTAAAATGTTACGCTTGTGTGGGGTCACACTTTACGACTTAATTTACACGAGCGCTCCTCTCATGAAAACTTCGCCAAACAGAGTTATTAGGTAGAACGATTGAAAACGACACTACATACATTTTACGGTAACCATCACAATTGGTAGCCCGATACGATGTGTCAAGTGTCTCAACCTTTTGATTTCTTTCAATCAAATATAGAAATAACAACGCTTCCGCTTTTAACAACTTCAAAGAATGAATAAATGTCAATATTCAAACATTGTCTGGGTATGGCTGATCATGCCAAGCAGGCCATCAGCTTGATCCAGGATAATTATGAAAATCTACTAGGAAAATTTGTCTTCAGTTTTAACCTCTTGCGACGAAAGTTGCTGGATCCGAAACATAGATAATACTATCCAGTAGCGGAGGCAGCGGCGTAAACCTATTTGTGTAAAGCTTTATATTTCAGAAGGGAGAATACCTGGATGCTTCATACCTTGTGTGCAGATAGCTTATGTTACAAAGTAGCCGTACGTCATATGTCCATTGTCCTTGACTTCATTTTCATGATTCAGCGACTGCTTAAAAAAATTACAATTTGTATTGTCATGTAAATTTCCCACTTATTGTGAGTAGTAGGATAACTATATTTGGTATATGTGTGTCAGACAGGGTTCCCCTGACCTCGACCTCATTTCATGGATCAGTGATCAAGGTTAAAGTTACATGATTAGGTCCGTTTCTCAGACTTGTTACAGACTTTCAGTGATAAGTAAGACAGGCGAGACATTTCAGCGTGTGAAATCTTGTGTTTGTGGAAAGAACAGAAATGCGAAAATAAAAGTACCGTGAATATTTCTTTAATATCCCATCAAAAGGAAGATGACTTTTCATGAACGTATAACAATAGGCACGGTACACCAAAATGATTACGCGGAAGATCAATTTACATCAACGGTTTTTTAGACAACATATCTATACCATAAATCATCACTTTACTTATATATGAGGGGCAATGGTCAAAATAATAATATTAACTCTTGACATTTCGATAAAAATAGAAGCGATATTTCTGGGCTTGTTATATGAACAACATTTGATGACGTTAGAAAATAGAAAATAGCAAAAATATCGAACGCCGAGGAAAATTCAAAAAGGAAAGTCCCTAATCAAATGACAAAATCAAAAGCTCAAACACATCAAACGAATGGATAACAACTAGAACTTGGTCTTTGAGATTTTCCAGGGATGTTTCATACTAAGTTTCTAGTTATTATTGATTTGCTTACTTGAACAAAACCATGCTACTGTACTCTGTATGAATGGAAAACGTGGCGTTCTCATCGGAAACGAGTTTATTTTCCTTTCATGAGTTTGAATGTCCCTTTGGTATCTTGCGCCTCTCTTTTATTGAAAATTCCTTTTATACAATTTATCAATGATATATTGAAATGATAAGTTGATCTCTTTCAGGAGTAAACAACGAAACAAAAAATCGATTTGTGAACGAAGGATTAAGCACTCTCGATGAAACGACAGTTCACCAAATTTATAGTACAAATGAAGACATAAAGGCCAGATCTGTGACTGAAGGCTATGCAGGTAACATTACTGAAACAAAAGATAATTTGAAATAGGACGATTTTTTAGGTTTTTTCTCTCCATTCTTTTTATTCTTTTTCATCTTTGGTAACTTGAGAACCAGCAACCAATCAGACGATCTTTAGTTTGAAACAAAACACGTCTGTTTGCAATGTTATCCACAGTCAATTTTAGAACTCTTCATTTTGACCTATATCGATCATGGGGACATTTTTAAATTCTGAACTCAGCTGCTTCAATAAAAACAATCATCTCCGATTGTCACAATCCGGACATTTATCAGTAAATCCATCAAGTGCTTTGAGCTTGCGCTTGCTTCAAAAAACGTCATGATACCGTTTCCCTATAATTTTGTTTGCATGCAGTTATGTTTATGATTTCTTTATGTATTGAAACCATATTTTAGTATTGAAATTTTTCCTGTTAGTACCGATATTTATTTCATGTTTTATCTTTGTCGCTTTAGTTGTATCGCGGGGATAAAAAAGAAAGAGTAATCGAAAAAAGATTTATAACCAGACACATATTTATGTGTCTTTCCAAAATTTGAGGCAACAAGAGCTTAACGATGTTGAAATTTTATCAATGTATAAAAAACATACAAATGAAAATAAAACTGAAAATTGAATGAACAGAACGAGAGATGGTGCATCGACAGGGTAAGCACATTCTACTATGAGTATTTCGACCGATATGTGAATCTATACTCAGTCAAAATGTTAAAAGCGAAAATAAGACACTATCGGTTATTTTACTGATCAGACGACTATTTAAAAAAAAATACTACTACAGTACTTTCTATCCTGTTTTCTTCTCTTTCATCTTTGATAACAATCAATCAATAAAATGTTTGTTTAGAATTTGATCAAAAGTTTCTTTCAGACTGCTTTTTTGGACCAAGTACGATCTTAATTCTGAACTCAATTTCTCCGAAAAGAAAAATATGATGAAATACCGTTTTCCTATTACTTTGAGTATGGTTATTGATAGCAACCTTATTATAGAGTTGTGTTTTTCTTGTTAGTATTGATTTGCAATCATTGTTTATGTACATTTGTTAAGCCCAATCTTCGAGATATATCAAGGTAGGGTTGACAATTTAAGAAAAAAAGTGTATCATCCATGTTCGTGTGTTTGTCCTAAATTTGAGTTAACAGTATATTTCCTATGTTTAAATATCAAAAACCAATTAAGAACATACAAACCAAATTTCGTATCGGTTCAACAAATTCGTAATGATGACCGTAAAATTTATGAAATTTTAATTTGATTTCTTCTCCTACACACGTTTTCTGAAAAGAACACACCTTTGTAAATGCAGTCAATATAATTTGCACATGCACGAGCAATATTGATCAATTCAAAGATGTTCATCCAATAGGATTATGCAGATGGTATGTTACCTCTAATAAATTGGAATTTGACGATTGGAAAAAAGTAAAACAACAAAAATGCCGAAATCATCATGCTTGTCATAGGTTTTAGTTTGTAGTCTTCAAACTGTGTTAATGTCAAGGAAAAGATCAAAATATGGCGTAGTTCCAAGTCAAACATCGTCAAAGAGAATCGTTTGTCATAGCAATCTTTTTTATTTTTCTTATCTAGAAAATTGGTTACGGATTGCAGATCTTTGAACATTTTGATTCAGTTGGTTACATCTTGTTTAGACACATCTTCTTGCCTTTGTCCAGTTTAGGAATATCACCAATTATCCAATGTCGACGTCTAAATGACAGTCTTTGTACCTATGTGGTTCAGTGAGAATCATACTTAAACAAATTACGTCAGTCGGTATTTTTCTAGGTTTTTGTAAATTTTGTAATTTCTCCTGAAAATGCATGTGCCAAGTCAGGAATTTGACAGTTGTTTTCCATTCGATCCGCCGTTTGTGTATATAGTCGAGCATTTGGTTTTGTCAGTTTTTATGGATTTCCCCTTTTTTTAATTTACCCTGGAGGTCGGTATTTTTGTTTATCCTTTTTTGCTTCATTCTAAGCAGCTGAACATTTCCTTCATGCTATTAACTATTATTTATATAAAACGAATTTATCTTCTGTTAGGATTCAACAATGCAACACAAGATATGTCTACAGAGGTAGGACATAGCACTGTAAAGAAAACGAGAACTCTTCAATCGTATGCTACACATGAAAATATGAAAAAAAAATATGTGACTGAAGGTAATGCAGGTGAATTTTCAGAAACATAAAATAATTTTATATTTGACTGTTCTGTATTGTTCTCTCATTTTGTTTATACCATATGTTTCTCTTACTTTTGACAAGCAAAAACAATCCATCATGTTCTCTTTTTTTTGCACTAAAACGTCCGTTTATATATTTACGAACAACAAATTTAAGAACGCGTCATTTTGGCATTGTAAGATCTTAAGACCGTTTCAAAACTCTGAATTCAACAATTGTACGTGCACTAAGAGTGAATGATGGGAAGATTTCAAGTCATCCATTAAAGGGTAGTATACAGATGTTATGCACGTAGTGCTGTGTGTTTGTTTAGTCTACATTTTCTAGAGGTATAGGGGGATGGTTGAGATCTCAATAAACATGTTTAACCCTGCCCCATTTTTGGGCCTGTTCCAAGTCAGGAGCCTCTGGCCTTTGTTAGTCTTGTATGGTTTTTAATTTTAGTTCATTTATATGTTTAGAGTTTAGTATGACGTCCATTTTCACGGAACTAGTACACATATTTGTTTAGGGGCCAGCTGAGGACCACCTCCGGGTGAGGGATTTTCTCGCTGCGTTGAAGACCCATTGGTGGCCTTCGGCTGTGTTTTTTACTCTTTGGTCGGGTTGTTGTCTCTTTGACACATTCCCCGTTTCCATTCTCTATTTTATTCTCTAATCCATTGAGGACATCCAAATCAGAGTTAATTTACGACATAAAAATACATTCAGTAATAAAATTGCCATCCTAAACTCTAAGTGCATTTACAATGTCAAGATATAAACATTTATTAGATAGTCCCTGTTTTGCTGGCATTTGAATCTTTCCCACTCCCAATTTAAACATTTTCACTAAGTGTGGATTCGCATGTCGGATGATGCATGCATATTAGTCGTTGATTATCTTGTCGAAACACCCGGATTTGCTTTTTTTGAAGTTCATACGATTCTACCAGTTTTGGTTTAAAACTTGCTTTGTTCTTAATAGATGTCTGCGATTTGAACATCGGTAGAATGTTTGACAGTCGCATGAATATGTGCGGCTGATAAACTGTATTTGTAAAATTGTCTAGCATGTCCTTTGTTCTTAAAAAAACAAAAACATGAACATAAACAGATACAATTAGTTTTACCTGTCGACGCATCTTAATCGCTCCATTGAAAGTCCGTGCGATTCTCTCCGTTTGGTTTTCAAAGTTTAAGTTTAAATTGTTTACACCTTTTATAGACTCGTCTTTCTAACACTATTGATATAGAGCTGGACTTATTGTTTAGAAACCAGTGTTTTGTTGAAATTACAAGTTGACATTCTGTTGTCTTTTGGGTGTTTGTGTTGTTCGGTTACTGTCTTATTATTGTGTGCTCCATATCTCCTTTAATTAATATTTTTTGAACATATCGAGAAGTGGCAAATGACAGAAAAGACAGTCAGTTATTGATACAGGTTCAATTAGTCAATGTCGATGTCTAAATGGCAGTCTGTGTTCTTGGTTGGTTCATTAACCAAATATATACTTTAAAGAATAATATCATTGAGTTATTCCTCGAACTTTTTGTAACTTTTGTTTCATTACATAGAAACTGAACCTTTCCTATATGCCATTAATTAATGACATATAAAAGACTAAATCTATCTCTTTAATGATTAAACAGTTGGCGGATATAGCACTGTGGAGGAAACGACAACTCTTCAATCGTATACTCGAAATGATGTCATAAAAGCCAAATATGGTACTGAAGGCTATGCGGGTAAAATAACAGAAACAAAAAGTAACTATAAATTTGACTGTCTATACTCTTAGTGTTTCACCATCGGTTTTCGTCTTTTCTTTCATTTGTTAAGCAAAGTTATCTTTAATTTGCAACCAGAGTTAGCGACTTATATTTTACATGCATCACCCACCAAGCAGTCAACACTCAGTCTTAATGTACAATTGGAAATGGGACTCGAGACATTGTTCCAGTCAACAAATTCGTGTAGGTGATTGTGAAACCAAATCCCTGACTAAAAGATATGCAGGTGAAATAACAGAAACATAAAATAATTTTAAATTTGACTGTTCTGTATTGTTCTCTCAGTTTTTAAATACAATTTCTTTCTCTTACTTTGTTAACAAGAACAGTCTATCATGTTCTCTTTATTTCGCACTAAAAGCACGTTTGTTTATAAATTTACGAACAACAAATTAAAGAACGCGTGATTTTGACCAGGTTAGATCTTAAGACCGTTTCAGAATTCTGCAGTCGAGTGTTCTTTTAAAAAAATAATATATCTGATTGTCAAATCCGAAGATTTGACGTGCACTAAGAGTGTATGATTGGAAGATTTCAGGTCATCCGTTAAAGAATAATTTACAGATGTTTATCTCATAAATCCATTGAGAACATTCAAATCAGAGTTAATTTACGACAAAGTTAAAAATACAATCGACTATAAAATTGCCATTCTACACTCTAAGTACATTTAAAATGTCAAGATTTTGACAACTATCAGATACGTTTTGTTTTGTTTGCATTTGAAATCCGATTGTTTCCCATTTCCAATTCTGCGTACTGACGTTGCTTATCATCTTAATAACGTGTTATATTGTTCTTTTATTTGTCTTTGTTCTATTATTAATATCACTTTTACTGTTAGGTCTGTTTTCTGTGATATTTATTTGACGTGGCTCGGTACTTAAACATCCCGTCAATGTGTTTGTATTATCTTTCATCTTTGCTGGTTTGTTTTGTACGTGTGACTTTATATGTTTCTTTGGTACATATGACGTGGCTCTGTACTTTTAAAGATCCCACCATTTTATTATTTTTCTATTATAATACCATTATGTTATTGTTCTATTATAATTTTGAAAATACTTTGAACGACAAAATTATTTTACTCGCGTAGTGGTATTAACCATATGTGGATTCTTAAAAATTCTAAAGAACTTCTGGATAATTTTAAATCTTGGTCTTTTTCTGAAATTAGTTCTAACAAAAACTTTTGATTTTCAACCCTGTATACCACCATTCCCCATGTAAAATTATAATTTTGAAAATACTTTGAACGACAAAGACTAAATCTATCTCTTTAACGATTAAACAGTTGGCGGATATAGCACTGCGGAGGAAACGACAACTCTTCAATCGTATACTCGAAATTATGTCATAAAAGCCAAATATGGTACTGAAGGCTATGCAGGTAAAATAACAGAAACAAAAAGTAACTATAAATTTGACTGTCTATACTCTTAGTTTTTTACCATCGGTTTTCGTCTTTTCTTTCATTTGTTAAGCAAAGTTATCTTTAATTTGCAACTAGGGTTAGCGACTTCTGTTTTACATGCATATCCCACCAAGCAGTCCACACTCAGTCTTAATGTTTATCGGAAATGGAACACAGACATTGTTCCAGTCAACAAATTCGTGTAGGTGATTGTAAAACTTATGAAATTACGATTTTATTCGTTTTTCCTTGGAGCTCTGTTGAAGATTTGTTTTGTGTCAGGAAGTCAGGTTATTATGAAGTCAATGTTACGGAAACATGTACGAGCATTTTATATCAATTAAGATATGTTAACATCATACGATTAAGCAGCAGGTGTGTATCTGATGTGAAATGAAAAGTTAACAATACGAAATTTGAAATTATCAACTTTGTCGTAGATTCTAGTTTAAAGTTGTCCATCTGTGTCAATATCAAGGAAAAAGATCGAAATATGAAACAGTTTCATGTAAGGAACATCGTAAGAATGTGTTAAATGACATATCTTAAATTCTTATTTTTCTTCTTTGTATAATTTGTTGCGGATGCAGATTTTTGAAAGTTTTAGTTTAAATTGTTTGCAGCTTTTCTAGACATGTGATTTCTAACCGTGTCGATATAGATTTTGACACATTGTTTAGTAACCGTTATTTTGTTGAAGCTGCAAGTTGACCTTCTGTTGTCTTTATAGTTGTCTTTATTTTGTAGTAACTGTCTTAATGACATCTTATTTTATTCATTCTGTACTATCAGATCGTAAAGTGCCCATCGACAAATTTGTATGACAATCAGTTATTGATTAAGTATAACTTACGAATATCATAAGTTATTCAAAACTGACGTCTCAATGGCAGTTTGTACACTTGATTCATCGGTCATATGCTCACTTTAAAGAATTGCGTACTAGGTCATTTTTTTCTCGAATCTTTATTAACTATATTTATGTGATGTATCAATAAATATGATTGGTCATTATGTGCGACTCGGAGAGTACGCATCAAAATATCTCACATTTTTATTCATATATATAGAAACATCGAGACATTTTTTTTCAATACAATAAAATGTACCTAAAAAAGCAAAGTCGTCATTAGGGATAACATTCCGGCACCATAATTGAGGAAGGCTTCATTTATTAGAAAACTGAACATTACCTTTATTTTTTTAGTCTATATTATAAACAAGAATGAATTTATTACATTTAGGATTAAACAATGAAACACAAGACCAGTCTACAGAAGGTGAATTAAGCAATGACAAGGGAACGACAGTTTACGGAAGCCGATAAGGGATTTCAAAAAAATTAATTTATGTCGTAATTACGACATAGTATGTCGTAATAACGACATCGCTATGTCGTAATAACGACATATTATGTGGAAATAACGACATATTATGTGGAAATAACGACATCGCTATGTCGTAATAACGACATATTATGTGGAAATAACGACATCCTTATGTCGTAATAACAACATAAGGATGTCGTTATAACGACTTCCATATCGTAATTACGACATCGCTATATCATCTATAACGACAACCTTAGAATTGCTACTTTGTGAGCATCGACACACTATGGGAAACAACATTTGCATCTTTATTTTAAGAACCACTTATCATAATTGAATCAAACTTGATATACGTGTGCACTATAAGGTCCTATTTAAGTGTTGTTTCTTAGTTACCCATTGGTTAAAAAACATGACCGCCAAGGGACTTTGAAAAAAACATTGTTCAAAATCTTCTTCTCAAGATCGCTGAAATGACTGAGTTTAAACTTAGTATTAATATACAATGTGTACCTAGTATCCAGGTCCTTAAAAAGAGTTTTTACGTTTTTAGCTGATCCGAAGTTAAAAATGGCCACCAGTGAGGGCAAAGTTTGTATCAAAACCCTATCGTAAACATATTCATTTTTGAGAATGATAACCACTGAATTTAATCAAGCTTAATTAATATTAAAGTAAGTTACTCCATATGTCTGCACATAATAGAACTTTATTTCATGATCAAGTCTAATGGGACCCATTGAAATGGTGAACGATTCAGGCTCCTTTGAGCCTCTATTTATATTTGGCATGTATGTAGATCACATCAAGAAGATGTGTTTAGTACCCGAAGGACTATGTGTGCTATTGCAATCGCTTGTCGTCCGTCGTCGTCTGTAGTTACCGTTAAACTTTTATTAAAGATTACAAAAATCACAAAATGTTGATAAAAGTTTAGCCGCCGTCGCCGAAAAATTAATTCCTTTGTTTTGTTATTTTTGACGTTCATCACAGGCGAGGCAAAAATCTGTTATTTCGCTATGTGGTCTATTTGTATAGCATTGTGGAAATAATTGCATAAAGTTCGAGATTGCATGTGAGTTACGTAAGCGCGTAACTGTTTTTTTATATCCTGTGGTGTTTGTCGTTGATGAAATATGTTCGTTGTTGTTCTGCAGTTTACATGTTTTGCGACTATTACTACACTGTAGTATATTATTTGTTTGTGCGTTTCTCTGTGATGAATGTTCTTGCGTGTGTTTGATCTGTATTTCCGTCACGTAGTGTTATCATTTCAGCGACATTTTTAACATTGTCATAAAGCGGGAGGTTTGGCTAGCCATTAAACCAAGTTCAACCCACCATTTGTTCCTAAAATGTCCTGTACCAATTCAGGAATATGACAGTTGTTATCAAATAGTTAGTTCCATGTATGTTAAGGGTTTATTTTTGTTCGTTTTAGTGTTCCTGTTGTTCGTTTATTTTCCTCCTAAAGTTGATAAGTTTCCCTCGGTTTTAGTGTGTAACCCGGACTGTTTTCTCTCAATCGATTTATGACCTTTGAACACCGGTATACTACTGTTACCTTTATTTAGTAACAGTGTCCATGCTGTTGGTTGCCGGTCAAAATCGACGGACTTCAAGTGATGACAATACATGTAGCTATCCCAAAAAATGTTTTAGAGAACACAACTCAGGTATGGGTCAAACTGATCTTTCTGAAATTTTCGGCATAGGTCCATTTTGTCATGATGAACCCTCAACAGATCTTAGAAAAATGTAACGATATTCGAGACATTATCAAAAAACTAATGTGTGACCATTATGTCCTATTTTTTCAAGTTAATAACAGCGGCTGTGTTTTTAAGGAATCGAAAATCAAAGCACGCCTTTTGTGAAGGAAACATTTAACAAGGAAAAATTAAACTAACTTTTAAAGAATTTGAACATTAGTTTCAAAGGAGATTTTTAAAACACGCTTACGAGAGACGACGACGGACAACAAACGATGGCAATCGCTCGCATACCACTTCGAGTACGAGACACAACTTCCTTAGGTGATAGGTGAAGGTCAGGGGATCCATTAGGCTCGATTATTAGGGGTCCAAAGTTTAACATAGGCCCCAATGGAAAAAGCTTTGAAAATCTTCTCCTTAAGAACTACCAGGCCATATTGGATCAATCTTAGAGAATGGATGATCCTTATATGATGAGGATTAAATATAAAAAAAGAAAGATGTGGTATGATTGCCACAAGAAACCAAATGACACAGACATTAACAACTATAGGTCACCGTACAGCCTTCAACAATGAGCAAAGCCCATACCACATAGTCAGCTATAAAAGGCTCCGAAATAACAAATGTAAAACAGTTCAAACGAGAAAACTAATGGCCTAATTTATGTACAAAAAAATAAACGAAAAACAAATATGTAACACACCAACAAGTAACAACCACTGAATTACAGGCTCCTGACTTGGGACAGGCACATACATACAGAATGTGGCGGGGTTAAACATGTTAACGGGATCCTAACCCTCCCCCTAAGTTTGTAGGAATACATGTAGTTGTCCTGGGGAACATTGGTTTAAAGAACTTTGGGTCCAAAGTTTAATACAGGCTTCAATGGGGAGGACGCTGTAAGAATCTCATTAAGAACTAACAGTAGCAATACAGTTATAATTTGCACCAAGCATCAGTAGGCCATTAAGATGCAATTGTGCACAAATGAAGGTACATAGGTCCATGGGTCTGAGCACTAGGAGTCCAAAGTTTAACATAATCTTTATTTGGAAAAGCTTAAAATTCATCTTTTTCAGAATCTGCAATGGAAATGCAGTCATATTTTACACGAATCTGTACATACCAAACATAACTAGAGGCTCCAAGGAGCCTGAATCGCTCCCCTGTTCAACTGGGTCTCATTTGACTTGATTATAAAGTATGTGCAAGTAAATAACTTTAATTAAGCTTGATTGCATTTAGTGTTAATTATTCTCCAAAAAAAGATGAATTTGTTTACGCTACAAACTTTGCCCTCACTGACGACCATTTTGAATTTTTTATCGCCTCGAAAAGTGACAACGCTAAGGTTGTCGTAATTATGACATAGCGATCGAAGCCTGTAATTCAGTGGTTGTCGTTTGTTGCTGTGTTACATATTTGTTTTTTGTTCATTTTTTGTATATTAATAAAGCCGTTAGTCTTCTCGTTTGAATTAAATTGTTTAACATTTGTCATTTCGGGGCCTTTTATAGCTGACTATGCGGGGGCTTTGCTCATTATTGAAGGCATTATGATGACCTATAGTTGTTAATTTCTGTGTCATTTAGTCTCTTGGCAATCATAATACATACTCTTTGTTTATATATATAGCGATGTCGTTATAACGACATAAGGATGTCGTTATTACGACATAGTGATGTCGTTATCACGACATGCTATGTCGAAATTACGACATAGTTATGTCGTTATTACGACATGCTATGTCGTAATTACGACATAAATTATTTTTTTCGAATGACCCTTATCGGCTTCCGTAACAGTTCACCAAACGAATACTACAAATGAAATTATAATAGTAGAATCTGTGACTGAAACCTATACAAGAGAACATATTGACACAAAAGATAATTTTATATTGGTCTGTTAATTTTCCCTTAATTATTTGTTTCTATACTTTTACTTCTCTTCTCACCTTTTTTTAAGCAGTAACAGTTAATAGTATTTTTGTCCATGATGTTGTCGAGTTAACTTCTTTTATCGTTTTTGATTCCCTCTTTTATAATGTTTTTCTTTCTTGCAAATATCAGTTCGTTTATACACAATCGAAACCACGAAGTGAAAAAAAAAACGGATAAGATAAGGCGAGATATATTGAACGAATTCCTGACCATATTTTATCTATCATAAAAAAATACGTATTTGATGAACAAACAAATTTTGACCACAAAACCAAACACTCGGCTTGAAAACTGTAATTTTCTTGACTTGGTCGAGGCATTTTCCGAAGTTAATTGTGGATTCAACATGGTTTAATACCTAGCTAAATCTTCAATCTTCATGAAACGTATAAAGATCGCAAAACTATTCGTAAATGCAAGAAGAGATGGTAAATTTTAAATAATTCAAATGATCGGCACGAACCATTGAAAGCAACAAATCAAGTGTCAACAAAAATCACGAAGTTTCTCAATCCCTCTAATTATATATCCCCAAAGTTGTATGACAGATTATTTACGTTTTTAGATCTGAACACAACCGTTTAGTCCATAAGCAAAAACGACATCAACACAAAGGAACGCACAACAAAAATTAGTACTGGAGAAATTGTCCACTCTATAATTACGCTTTGCAAAAATGCAAGTAGATTCAAAATAATAATAAACAGTCAATTTGTATTTACTTTTAGCATTATTTTTATTACTTTCAGTCAGCAGTACATACAGAAAAGAGCCGAGTAAACAAATGACAACTTCTCTGAGCAGTGAATCTAATGAAGAATCATTTACAAATGGCAGTCAATACGTCAACACTACAGACAATGACTCTCTCTCGCTTTGTATGCTGTTTTCTCTCACCTTTACGCTAAATAGACGCGATACTTAGGTGTGATGTTAGCGGCATCCACGTTGGTTGCGTCAAAACATTGTTAAATTTATGATTAAAATATGTATAGTTAGTTTAAGGGGGTCACTGATATTTTGTAGGCAGTTGTTGTATCATGGGGACTTTCATTTCAATGGAGAGGATTAAGTTCAACCCGCTTGTCATGGTACTTTGACTTTAAAACTTTTGCATATTTTTCATATTGTACAAGCAACACATATCTTTGTGTCAAAAGATATTACATTACATCTTTTGATACCTTTATTCAGGTACTAGTAACTCATTTTGTCTTCAAGCTGTGATTTCAGAAGACCTAACGAACATGAATATCGTAATTTTTCCTGGTAAAGGAAGCATTCTCATCTAAAATTTATACAAATTTAACATGTATATGTGTTTACATACTTTCGTTAGATGTCATTACAGCAGAAACTTTATATATTTGTAGCTTGTTGTGACATTTGAAACATTCAATTGATCATAACGTTATTTTGTTTAAATTATTAATTCTGAAATTTGTTTCATTCAATGTTTGTTTGTATTTTTTTCCGTTTTTTTTATAGAGTTAAAATTTTAAGCAAAGTAATAATCAATTGTAAACATAAAAAGTCAATTCGGTATAACTGTAAACAAAAGGGAAAGACAGTTGTCTCTCTTTCTACAGAAAATACAGTCGAGAATTAGACTATGTTATGCTTTGTTGGTTGTTGTTAATCTAGGGGTTTTTTTTTGGAAGAGTAAGGTGTGGTTGTGGTGGTATGTTGAGCTATGTGGTATTTTTGGAGGATTCCTGGTATCCCTATTCATGTTTTATTCGAATATATATAAATAATTTTATACATTTGTTATGTCAGATATCAATAATTCTCTAATATCCAATCTCACTATAATAATAATAATAATAATACATGTACTTATAAGGAGCCGTTTTCTTTATGTTCAAAATGTAGTAATGTTCAGCATTCATATTTTTTTTAGTAACACAGGCTAATGAAACCAAAGGAGAGTTATATCTTACACGGACAAAGGAAGATACAACTGCCAAGTCCTACACAGACAAAGGCACAGATAGGAGTATGGGTAATTACCGTGTATACATTTGTATTCATTGTGTATTCGTTTTTGTGGGTTTCGTTGATATGAGAGGAACCACGAACGTAGATATTCAACAAAATGTTACTTTTCTAAAGGCTTGTACGCAGAATTGGGCAAAACCACGAACTCATATATCTACGAAAATAGCATGTTTCCTCAACCCGAGAAAATTGGTATCCACGATAATAAATGCGTCTATAGTTGCTTTAAACAATGCTGCAGCTCATGCACATGTTAGGATCCTTCTGTTTTCATGTTCTAACGGGTTTTATGTGTTTTATTTCCAATCGTTACCTAATGAAGGCTGTTCATAAATCTTTCGTTTTATTCAAGGCAGTAAAACATACTGTTTTCCCCCAAACTCGACATTTGAATTTGAAAATGACAATAGAGTATACCACTTGTTATGTACAATAATGCGGCATAAACAAGTGGGTATGATGGCCCCATAATGCGAATAGCCCGATGTTGATACATATTATATGACATATTTCTTCGACAAACTCCAGAAACAGTATACCAGGTGACAGTTTATTTCCTGACAATGGCTTATGCATTGAATTCTATAAAATTACTCGTACAACATGGCAATGATGCATTAAAATATTCAATGTTTAATTTCAAAATAAAAACGTATTCATTAAATGACGTTTTATCAAAAAATGTAACGTCAAATAGTTTATCATAAAGAAAAACAAAGAGAGGCCAAACCTTTGGTGTATATTCTTAAAAAAATATATATTTTTTTTTGGACAAAAATTGTTAAAATATAGAAATGTCTATCTGTTTCAAAAAATATTTTAAAAACAACGATTGTAATTTTTTTTTTCTAGAATCGTAAAAAAGATGTACGTGTTGTTTAGAAAAAAACATTAAAATTTAGGGTTTGCTAGGCAAAATATTCTACTGAATGCCAAAAGGAAAAGCCAGAAGATGTATATTTGGGTTGGGAAAGTTTTGTAATTGACAAGAACCATAGATCTATTTTCACAATAAGCTTACGGATGTCGTATTATACTTGTTAAGTGTAAATTAAATCAGGTGTGTTCTATATGCCAAAGAGACAGCATTTCAACGACACAAAAACATCAACATTGCAATGTGTATAATTATATGAGAAGGTGTCGATGGTATCTGTAAAGCTGTAAATCGCTCACAGTCTAAAACATGGTTAGATACTAGTATTTCAAATGTATCGTTATGGTATTTGATTATTGTAGGTAAAGATTGTAACTATATATACATATATATGGGCAAATTAGCACACAGATTGTCAATTCTTCTCATTATCAACCTCCCTTTTGTTTCCGATTTATCGAAGATATTGACATGAAGTGGGATAATACTGAGCAAGAACTCATTGTGTCCATTCAATATACCAATGACGCTCATCCAAATCTCTGCCTCTATGCAAGCCCATAGACAAACATCAACATCTTTCTCCCCATAGTTAAACCTAAACATTCTAAACATTGCACCAAGAGCACTCCCTACAGTCAGGCCATCCGAAAAAAGCGGATTTGCTCAACCAATGAAATTGCAAAAAGTCGATTATTAGAACTTCGCGGTCACAGAAACTATATTCAATATTAAAGGGGAACAACTCTATTAAGAGTCAACTGACAATTTCAGTAAAGTTGACATATTTGTAGATCTTATCCTGCTGATATTTTTTTCCTATTCAAAGTTTCCAATTATCTATTATAGTTATCAAGATAATAAGCAAAAAAAAGGGGGAAATGTAAAAAAATTATCATCAAAGGGCAATATCTCCAAAGCGACTATTCTAAAGATTTCGGTCATTTTGGCTCATTTGTAGATCTTGTCTTGTTGGTCATTTATGCTTAGTATTGTTTCTATCTATCTATTATCATAGTTTTTAAGATAATAGGCAAAAACTGCAAATTTGTTAAAATCGTCATCAAAGGGAAATAACTCTAATAATGAGTGGTCTGGTGAGCTAAAACGCAAGGTTTTAGGAGAAAAGCCGTTAATGGAGGTTTCTCTCGTGCTTACATCAGTCCAGATGAATTTACAATTTAAAGGGAATCACGTTGGTGCTGACTTACTCCTAAATTTGACCAGCTATAACACCTTATTTGCTAAAATTGGAAAGAAATCGAAAAACATTCTAAACTCTCCTAAACTCTCCAAAATCTACTCGACCCACCCGTACACATGTACTAGCTTTCCGTAGGCCGAAAAGCGCCAAAGACTTGCTGGTGGAGTTGATCTATGCTTTAGATCAGGCTCTTTGTCATTTGGCTGTTACAAGAGGGTGTATGGACACAAACGATGTCTGACTTGCAAGCAAATACTGAATATCCAGACTTTTAACAGTCACTTCAAATCACTGCCATTGAAGTGAATGCAAACAAGAACTTCCTCTTAGTCGACATTTGAAATCCATAGAGCATACTAAAGCAGATCTCAATCGACTCACTATTACAATCATAGACCACACCACTGCTTGGTCTAGGAAAGACAGACTCACTCGGGAAAGATTTGGGTTGTATTACTACGCGGTCTCTGTTGTAATAGACAACTTTTGAGTTCGTTGCATTCCCGTCAAAAACTTTGGTTTTAGTGAAGATCGTTCATGCGTTTAGGGGCATCGTCACTTCCTTTCCATGTTGAGTGAGTGGTTGAAAAAAATATGATGCAATATTGCACGAATTATTCGCCAAATTAAATTCTTATAATTGCTTATCAGAACTGCTGTCATTTGGGAATTGTGATTAAGTACCTATGGAACATTGTTTCTAGTTTTACCTGCATAATGACAATCACGAAGCCGATTGATGAATTTTAATAGTGCAGGGTTACAGGCAATCCCCTCTATCTGGTAAATGACGTCATAAAGGCGCGCTTTTCCGGTAAAGGACATAACTCGAAAGGGGTTTATTCCTTTGCCTTCATCATCTCTGAAAATCTAGAATTATACCAGTTTAATATGGGATGTATAAGTACGCAGTCACGTTGTGCCTGTGAAATTATAGAATTGTACTAGTTCATGTCGCACATGATGATCCTTTTTAGAAGCATATCTATACAGTCTCTGTTGTTAATAATTAACCTACGTCATTTTTTAAATTTTAGCATTATACAAGCGTTGTTTAGTTTTTAATTGAATAACTGTAAAGATTGTTTCAGTTAAATCAGAATAGTTTGATACGATTCATTTTACATCATGGCAATCAAACTGATGACGGATATCTGTTAGCCGAAATATTTATAGATACTTATATTTAATGTTTCCTTTTTTTAATATTGGTGTTGTTTTGTACACTTTTTAGGCGTATGCATATATTTAAAATATCATCATTCTTTTAATGTTTTATCATGGGAAAATAAAAATATACAAGCCTAGTCGGTGAAACAATTAAATTGAGAACTATTTACTTAAAAAATGCAAGTGTATTTTACCGTACGATATATATAAAAAAGGAGAAAGTCAATTTTTTTAATTAGTATTTTCCATCATACTTGTCATCACGTTCATCTCAAACCATGTTACTGTAAAACAAATTAATATGAGTAGCAGTATATGTTATCAATATATGCGGTTTCTTATATTTTCAGATGATTCGTCTGGATTAACTAAGGTACATGTATCAACAATTGTCGGCGGTAGTATCGGCCTAGTCGTGCTCTGTATCGTCATATTCATCGTCTTCAAATTAAAGAAAAAAACAGAATTAGCAGAGAAAGCCGATTATAGTTATGTGAATGCTGTATATCAACCGCCTGAAAGCCAAAACAGTGAAAACGAACCTATATTCACAGAATAGTTGGTTTTGTCTTGAGTATAATATTGTAACGATAACGTGAAAAAAAATTATTCAGAACACCTGCAATATATGTTTCTTTTTAACTTATTTTTAAGTTATTTTGTAATGTTTTTATCTATTTGTTGTATTGTAGATTGTTTAGTTTGAGTATAAGTGCCTCTTATTTATACTAAAAGTCAAAATGGATTGGAACCAAGTAAAGCATTATTCTCTGCATTATCAAGCCTGTTGTATTTTGAAACAATCAATATTTATGAATCAATGTAGCAGCAATTGAAATTTTTTTTTCAAAGGAATGCGAAAGATACAAAAGGGACATTCAAACTTATAAGTCTTTAACTCAATTAAAATCGCAAACCCTCGATCGTTACGCTAAGAAACAGTTGAACAAGATTAATTGACAAATAATAACTCATTCAACTGAATAAAGTGTTTAGAAACAAATGTAGTTTTACAATTTTACTTACACAAATAGAATTCCTGTACCTTTTTCGAACAAATATTACAAGATCAGTTTGTCTTCACATAACCTTTGAGTTGAAACTGATTGTTTTGTTGGTACTAATAGGAAGAAATGAGTTATGATGTTTGTGATTTATTAATGATAGGATCGTGACCCTTGAAAACCAAATGAGACATTTTATTGAATTGATCAACTCTTAAACAATAGTAACGATTGAGTACGATCAGTACGATCGTGACCCACGAACACCGGATGAGCCAGACAGTTAATTGAATTGATCAGTCCTTAAAACTAGGTTCACACTGCCGATCAGATTAACACGATCAAGCCCGATCAAGACAGATTAAGCGATCGGGAGACTGGTCTGACTCGTTCGACAAGAATGTTCGGGGTGGTCTACCTTGCTCGGCATCGCTCTGACTTTCTATCCGACAATTTTTGACATGTCAAAAAAGTTCTAGTAGGGATCGAGAAGCCAATCACTCGGGAAGAGATCGGGAATTCGTCGAGTAGTGGTCGAATTGATCGAGAAAAGATCGTGTAGAGATCGAGTTTGATCGGAATACAAATATTTACCCGATCAGTACTCTATCATCTCGACCTTTTCTCGACTAATATCCGATCGCTCCCCGACCAACACCATCCTCTTTCACCTGTGGTTCAGATTAACTCGACCAATGCCCGATCGCTTCCTGATCACTGCGACTACTATTGTTTTTGATTCCAGACCAACTCGACCAATACCCAATCTCTACTGGATCAAATTCGACCACTTTTCGATTTCTACTCGGTCATACACGAGTTCACATGACTGCTACAAGATTCTACAAAAGGGTGTGCAGATCTGATTAACTCTCATAACTTGTTAGGGTAATCTCAGGTGCTCCGGAAGGGTAAGCAGATCCTGCACTACACGTTGCACCCGTCGTATTGCTTAACATAGGTACCAATTCGGTGACAAGTCTCATCTGGTTGTGTCATTTTCAAGAAAAGAAGAGTTACTTTTATAAATAAGAAAATACAAACGGTTCAAATTATAATCATTATTATTATTTTAAGGATTTCTTTAACTCTAAGGATCTCCAGATAAACGTGCAATCAAGAAACTACATTTTTTTTAAAACGCAAAAAAGACAAAAAATATACCAAAGCTAACGTTAAACTTTTGAATAAAGCAGAACATAATTACCTTTATTTTTAAACAATCTTGGCAATTTTATAACACATGAGAACAAGACGTCTTACAACAATATCTACATCGGCGGTTTCACGGTGAAACTACAAGTAACTGCATAATTACCCTGCTGAACTAAATAAGTACTCTCTTTCAGAACTTGCTAGTGAATTGAAATAGTTCTTAAGATAGTCTCTAAGACGGACCTCAGCGTATGTCACAGCATTCCTTCCATGGGTATGATCACCATCTGCCATCTGCCTTCCCTGACGCCATTCACCAGGTTGTAATTGATTGTGCTCATCCTCATGGTCGATGGCCTGGCGTACGATAGAAGGATTCCAATTTCTGTGAAGATTATGCTGTGTAATACATGCAAGAATGATGAAATTAATGGTTTCTGGAGACTGATTCAAGCAGGCTTTGAAACCGCATGGCAAGAATACCAAATATGTTTTACACCACTCTCCTTGCACGGGAAAGTCTGCAAAGTAAAAACAAAATGTGTGATTATAATTAAATGATTTTTTTTGGCAAATTAATAACAATAAAACAATTGCAATTTCGTTGTTATATCAAAAATCAATACAATTGCTTCTCTTTTGCAATTCATCAGTAACGGTACAGACTAAAAAGGGAATACCATGATGAAAAAATTGTTTTGAAAAAAAAATGATAAATTGATACCCTCAAACAGCAAAAGATATACGTTAGGATTAAGATATTTTTTAACTTACTTAATTTTGCTAAAGGCAGTTCCTTACTTTGTTATTAAAGAATAAACTATAACTGAATATGCGCTCTTCGTCGGTTAGGTTACGTTTGGAGTATGGGTTCATCATCCAGGTTCTCAGTGGGAAAGTATCATCTCCAATCAAGAAGTATTGGTTGTTTTTGTCATCGCCGGGCTGTGAGTAAGATGACGGCGTGGCATACCCAGGTTGTTATCCTCAAACAAAGTCCTTAATTCAGATTGGTTGAAGAGCTAGGGGTCGGACGCACTTCCATTAGAACCAACACTGACATATATGAACTTGTAGTCTGCGTCGATGAGGGCCTGTAGTATGATTGTGAAAAATTCTTTGTAGTTGTAGTACAGTGTACCAGAGTCCTTTGGGCACATTTGGTTGAGGCAAACTAAAGTTAGAGAACGGAAACCAATTTCGGGACGTACGTACGGACGGACGTACAGACGGACAAGGGTAACACTTAAGGTCCCCTCCGCTGCGGCGGAGGCATAAACATCAGATGTTTATATACTGAAATTGCACATACCAGACCAATTGCCGACTATCCCTACACGATCAGGTCGATCTGGTCTGGTCGAGATCGGGTTGAGATTGAGTATAGTTAATTTAGTCTAGCTAGTCGAGTAAAAATCATGTAGAGATTGTGAATTGGCCGGGTTCATCGAATTGATATTCAATTAGTGGTCGTGAAGGAGTCATTAAGGAGGCGTAAATGGTCGAGTTTGAGTCGTGTACGGTCTGATAGTGGTCGGATAGAAGTCGTAAACAGCCCCTATCAAGAATTTGGTTACGCTTGGTCGTGAAAATTTGGGCAATCGGGATCTTCGAGTTGATCTGATCGGCAGTGTGAACATAGCTTAAACGATCGACACAATTAAATACGATTGATACGATCGTCACTCTTCGAAAACCAGATGACAACATTGATAGAATTCATCAACTCTTAAACGATTTAACTATTTCATACGATCGATACGATCATGACCATGAAAAACAAGAAAAGACAATTGATTGAATTGACGAGGCCTTAACTGATCGTAAGGATTTAATACGATTTGTACGATCGTGACCCTTGGAAACTAGAAAAGACAGACTGATTTAGACTTGTTTTGTCTCGAACATCACTGAGGAGACGCTTATTGACGAATTGAGCATCTGGTGCAATACAATTGACATTGTTAATGTTATTTATATAATACAAAAAAATGTCTGAAGTAATTTATGTTAACCTTTACAGTAAATGGACATGTCTGTTGTGGTTCTGTTAGCATTTATTATAAACTTAATCATCTGACATACATGGACATGTCTGCTGTGGTTCTGTTTGCATTTATTATAAACTTAATCATCTGACATACATGGCGACCTTATAAATTTAGAATATGACAAACATTTTGAGCGCAGATTCAAAATGGAAGACTAAAGCCTCTAGCCTTTGTTAGTCTTGTATTATTTTTAATTTTAGTTTCTTGTGTACAATTTGGAGTTTAGTATGGCGTTCATTATCACTGAACTAGTATATATATTTGTTTAGGGGCCAGCTGAAGGACGCCTGCGGGTGCGGGAATTTCTCGCTGCATTGAAGACCTGTTGGTGACCTTCTGCTGTTGTCTGTCCTATGGTCGGGTTGTTGTCTCTTTGACACATTCCCCATTTCCATTCTCAATTTTATGGACATGTCTGCTGTGGTTCTGTTTGCATTTATTATAAACTTAATCATCTAACATACATGGACATGTCTGCTGTGGTTCTGTTTGCATTTATTATAAACTTAATCATCTGACATATATGGACATGTCTGCTGTGGTTCTGTTTGCATTTATTATTAACTTAATCATCTGACATACATGGACATGTCTGCTGTGGTTCTGTTTGCATTTATTATAAACTTAATCATCTGACATACATGGCGACCTTATAAATTTAGAATATGACAAACATTTTGAGCGCAGATTCAAAATGGAAGACTATTTGCAAACAATTGAGCGCAGATTCAACGGAGAAGACTATTCTCAAACAAACTCATCTAAATGAAAATGTTCATTGTCATATGGACACTACCTAGCTTTTATATTATATATTATAAGCTCTATGCAATAACAAGTCTGAATGCAATGCTAAAACAAAGGCGAAAGATACCAAATGGGTATTCAAACTCATAAGTCGAAAACAAACTGACAATGTCATGGCAAAAATACGAAAAACAACGACACCATGTAATAGATAGAACAATAAATTAACCATTTAATGTTAATTTATTTTTCTATCTTCCACCCAATTCTCTTGTGCGGAAGGAACAATGATTCATATATATCGCGTAGCAAGAGTTGGCTTGGCACCTTCGAGGCAAGACCTGGCTTTGTTTCCTCTCCCGATTTCCAGTTCTGCTTTTCATTCCCTCTCAGAGGAGAGTCAAATGTAGGAAATATGTGATGAAAAACGATGTAAAATGAATTCACAATATTCTTAAAATCTCTCTCCTTAATGACAATATAAAAATGTCAAATTGGTTTCACATTTCTAGAATAATTTAAAAACCAGAAAAACTGAGTTCTCCAAGTTTATATGGGTTTGTGATTTTCCTTTGTCATCAGTTTTTGGTGTTTAGTTTTGTATAGTTGGCCGTTATTGTTCTTTGTGTGTATTTCTTGTTCCTGCGTTTTTTCTCGCTAAAGTTACCTTCTTCTTGACATTTTCATCAGCAGATTGTACAAAACCTAAAGAATACATGAATTGTGAATGGGTGTCGTGGAGTTAAGTTCATTTCAGCAACTCATAAAGAAAGAAATAGCAGCGCAAAACAATTACCCTTTTGGAGCTAACATGTGGAAAGATCAAATTGGTTTTTGTGTTGCAAAGGTTTTAAACCAATTGTAGGTGGTCAACTTTGGTTAATCTTACGTTTTGTCTCTTTATTGATCTACAAATCACAAACACTACAAATGTTTTGGCTACCTGAAACCACAGTACACCTATACATTACATTTTCTGTCAGCGTTTTT